AAACTGGGGGCTATGGAGATTTTATGGCAAAAGGTGGGGGAACATTTTCTCCAGTAGAATGTATGTTGGCCATTGGAATTTTTTAAAATTAAAAAATTAATGTAATCTAATTTTCTTGCATACAGAAAGTTAGGTGCTGGGTAAGGTTGGCATTTTCACACTTTTCTATTATCATCGTACTATTCTGTTAAGTTTTTAATGGATGAGTCAGAGACCAATGGTTGGAATGAGGGCATGCAGTTAATTTGTTATTTTACTAGGGTACAGCTTGACGATTTTACATGCCAAACAGAACTCCAGTTATGAAAGACTGAAATTTTCTGAGCAAGCTGGAACAGAATTAGATTTTAGTGAAGGATGGAGATAACAAAAAATATATATATCAGGCATGAAGGAGGGTTTATATCCAAAAGCGAAAGATGGAGGAAAATTAGACGAAGAAAACTAATTATACAAACAGAGTGCCACAAATCTGCTGGAATTTAGGATATATAAACTGATAAATATTTGAGAATAATAATATAATTTTTATATAATATGCATCATAAAATCTTACCTCGAATATACTGCATTCGATCTTTATAGCATTCAAAATCCATGTGGCTTCAAAGTTTATAATTTCCATCAAAATAAAAACAAGCTTAAAATCTGCTGCCTATTGTTTTAACATATTAATTTTAAAACACTTGTTATACATTCATATTTTAAAAATCAAAGGCAAAATATGTATTTTTAAAATTTAGTTCGCCCATTGCAATGTTCAGTTGTTCATCCCCCCCGGGATGACATAACTTTAATAAGGCCAGGTTACAAAAATGTCCAATATTTTTGGACACACGTGACCAGTGTTTACCAGGGCCTTTGCTTCCCGTACCAGAGCCTCTGAACCGCGCAAAGGCCCTGGGTACGAGGTTGCCCGATACCAGGCCCAAACACGAAGTAGTCGATACTGTACGGTATCGAAAAAGTGCTTCGATTACTTTTAAAATAAGACATTCATTATAATCCTGCAGTTGTGTCATCATTTTCATGGTTATTTCTAATAAAATTTATGTACTTTTTGGTATTTTGCTGCATTTATCAATTTAATCAAACTTCCTTTATACTTTATTTGACATTCTATTCTCGCCGACAGAATAAATTATGAAAAAGGCGGAAAATAAAGTAATTTTTGTTTTTTTATGGAACAAAATGGCGGATCAAATCGTTACTGTTAAAAATATGTAACTTTTTGAAAATTGGAGGAAGTGATCGTTTGGGTAATCGATACCTCGATACTTGAACCAAAAAGTAATCGGTATCGTATCAAAACCGATACTGGTGGTATCGCCCATCACTACTTGCCAGAGGGTTGCGCATGCGCATTAAAAAAGTGGGGACATGATTTGCCTCGAGTTCCGCCTCTGTATATCCGCCTCTGTATATCCTTACTCTGTATATCCTTACTCTGTGCCAGTTAAAATTACCAGAAGGCTTGATCACACAGTTGCAAAAAGTGTTTTTTCCTCCTTTTTTTCAGTTTTTATAACCTTGTTTCTAAGCACTAAAATTGAAAACATTTGATTGTTAGCGTAATGCCATAAAGAAAACATTCAACATGATGTATTTTTTATCGTTGCTGCAGAAAAAATCTGTAGATTTCAGAAGAAACAGCATATACTGACATTTAACTTTTGTGATTTTAATGAAAAGACCAGTGGCGGACACTTTACGATACTGGGGGGGGGGGGGGGGGGTGCTCGTGCTGAAGGCACGGAAAAATTGAAAAATTTGAATCCCGGAAAAGGCATTTGCAGCGTTCTGAGAACACATTTTGTAAAAAACTAGGGTTTCAAAACACTGTTTTAAGTTTTGTTATAAATCACATGCCAAGCCATGTACAGAAACAAATACTATTATATTATGATGACAATTACGTTATATGAGTGTGATTTGTGTTATTTGGTACTGGAACCAAATTGGTACTGGAACATAAGAACATTTATGACATAGAGAACATACAAATATTTAACAATTATTCGCCGAAGACGAGGTGATTATCGATTTATCGGTGAATAAAAACCGAGACAAATTCCAGGTTTTTATTCACGATAATCACCGAGCCTGAGGTGAATAATTGTTTTAGTATAATTTCATAGGTGATTATTTGGAAAAAAATAAGAAAATACACATTTCTTTGCCATTTAATTGACAAAAGGCTTCGGCCGCCATTTTGAAAATCGCTTAGGTGATTATCGCGTAATAATCGCCTCAACGGCAACCAATCAGCGTGGAGAATTTTCAATAATCACCTATGTAATTATACTAAATGTAATTATGTGCATATAATGTTGCTACTTTCAAGTTTAAATCTAATTTGCGTGGCGTGGTTATCCTCCGTCCAACGTTTTTAGTCCAGGATAAAATGTTTCGGAAATTCCTTAAAAAAATCCTCAAAAACCTAAATTCCTTAAAAAAATCCTTAAAACTCTTCAAAATTCCTATTTTTAAGGATAATTCCTTAAAAGTGAGAGCACTGTGTTTGACGTCCACGAAAATTTTAACTCGCTCACGTCAGGCCACGCCATCCTGGCTAGTACAGCCGGAAGTTTTTATCAGGATTTGGTAGGTAGAAAGTGCCGGTTGTACTAGCCAGGATGGCGTGATTGATGACGAATCGCTTGTAAAAACGCGGACAAATATTTGCTCGAGTTACGCTTCTGGTATAACTTCCTATTCTGTGATCAAATCAAGAAATGTTTGCTATTTCGCTGTCGTCATGCAGTCGTTATAATGCAAACTTTAAATTGAACCAATCAGTGTCCGCTGTTCATGACAGTCCGCCATATTTTTGAGATCAGTGAGGACACAGAGTATATCTTTACTCTGTGGTGAGGATGACCACCGACCGAAACAGAGTGTATCTAAAAGTCGAGGGTCGAGAGTCGAGAGTAAAGGTCGAGAGTCGAGAGTAAAAGTCGAGAGTCGAGAGTAAAAGTCGAGAATCGAGAGTAAAAAGTCGAGAGTCGGCAAATGTCATCAGAAACAACAAAGTCAAAAAACTTTTAACACAATATATAACTGATCCGTAACAACGGCTGATTATAGCCGTACGGGCGAGCGGGGGAGGGGGAGGCAGTCCCGCTCCCCAGTCAAAATAAAGTCATGCAAATTATAAACGGATAATTTCGGGCAAAAATTGGGAGAAATAAATTTAAAAAGAAGACAGTACATGCATTATGGTATTTGAAAATACCAGAAATATGTAGAAGTAACGAGGAATCGACAAATAGGAAAATATTTTTGTCTACTTCCCATTTCCCAACGACAATTTTGGAAATTTAGTTACACGGAAAATTTTATTCAGTGGGTAAAAAATCGGGTAAATTTCTTTCTGGCTCCCTGATTTTTTCCCGCCCGTACGCCTATGACGGCTGAACTAATTTCATTTCCTGTGTATCGGAACATAAAGCAAACAATATTTGCGAATTAAACATAATTTAGGGAAGCCTCACATATCGATTTTTTCCACGAGAAACGTCATATGTTCGTTTGGGGGTGGGGGGTTGGCAGCTGTGACGTTTCTCTGTAAACATCATGGAAAAATTCGATAGTTTTTATCTTTGCAGAATATAAAGAAGAAAACAATTTGATACAAACAGCAGTCTATATATTCGTAATACCATACCTGTTCTATACGTATACATTTATATTATTACGCCTTCCTTGCATTGAAAACACTCAAATTTCAAGAAATATGCGCTAAAATTATCAATATTTCATGCAAAAAAGTTGTTTTGAGAAACGTTGGAAATTTTGAAGTTCATATATATATTAATAAAAAAAGAGTATGTCAGCAGAAGATGACATATTCCTCGCGGAAGCATCGCCAATAGCCGACCGAAAAAAAATAGTAGAAAATTACCTTATGTGTACTCATAGTGTACTGTAAGAACAAAATATCGATAAATATGTGTGACGTTTCTAAGGGTGTGTGGGGGGGGGGGTCTCCAGAGAAACGAACATATGACGTTTCTCATGGACAAAATCGATGTGTGAGGCTTCCCTTAGTATGCTCAAATTCTCGAAATTAAAGTAAACAAGAGGCACATGCAATCAAAGGAATAATCCAGTATAATATAAAAAAAAACTTTCGCAAAAGTTTAGCCACAACATTCAATAATAATAACTATTATCTAATAACTAGTTTTATCGCTTCCTTATATATTACTGTCCATCCTTCCCGCTTTTACATGCACCTAATATTTCCGCGAAAAATTACTCATATGTGAAGCTACATAGAAATACTAGGACTTTACAATCACGTGCGCGACATATTACCATCCGATAGAGTCACACATACGACAAAAGAATCCTATTTTTACTGGCTCGTATTTATGAATTCACAATTGTATAATCGTTAGATTGTGATCAACGTGGATTTCTTAATACGCTCTCGTTTGATATAAACGTACGTTAATGAATAAGTGACATTTTATAGTTACAAGCCTGGAGATGGCTGTCAAAATTCAGCGAAGTTTATGTGCATGTCAGTTAGAATGAAATGACATGTGAAAACATTTAGCAAGATTGAGGCATCAAATCCGATATTATTTTCTTATCCAATCTTTTTTGTTTTTGTTATCACGTTATTATTATTGACAGTGGCAGAAACCTTGGTGGGACGGGGGGGGGGCGGCCGCCTTCCGGAAAATTCACCTTCCGGAAAATTGACGAATTTTCGGAAATTTTGATCTAAAAGAGGGCTAAAAACAGTCTTTTCGAGTGCAAATGGGTGCGTGGGAACAAAGTTTTGTAATTATACAGACAGACAGGACATATAATAGTGTTATGTGCTTCCATTATTAATAGTGTTATGGTATAGACGTATAATAGTAATGTTATGGTATACATAATAATGTTATATTTCCATTGTTAATAGTATAAACAGTCCTTGGGTTTTGTGCATTATATTTATCCATTATTAATAGTGTTATTAACTGTTAGTCATTCCAGGCTATTACTCTAGAGGTGACCACGCTTGACTTTGTGTCTAAGAATATTAGTGACATTAACCTTAGTGACAATCGCATAATAGCTAAATGTGTGGAGGTAGCCCTGCGGGTCACATTATAGATATATTGTCGGAGAAATAAGCCGTGGAATGACCCATAATTTGTTCATTTTTATGAGATACTATCGTTTGGAGTGCTCAGAAAATGACCTGTTTCATTACAGAGAACTGTTTTCTTAATTTTAGATAATTAGAATATTGTTGTAACATATATGCACGCGATTCTTACAATACAATAAAATACGATTTTTATTGTTTAAAAACTATAATTGTAGTGTTATGTTTCCATTATAGTGTTATTTAGCTTTGTATGATCCACGGATTATAAACAGAGTTTGAACAACCTAACTCAAAGTTTTGGCCGTGAGGCAGCATTTCCTTGCGTTAGTAACTTCTAGTTCATAGAGTAAACTTTCCGGGGGGTGTATACGATTTATGTTCTCAGTGATTTATTGTACTTAGTCAGAACTTTGAAGGTTGTTTAGGCAATTTCAGTTAACTTATTTACATATTATGTTATCCTTTTGCCAAGTTCACAAAAATTTCGAGGAATCGCTTTCGTTATTGTAATTTTTTGTAAATTTTAGAACATTCGCTTCTCATGTTGTGTAAAGGATCTTTACCCCGGAACACCCGATTTTTTCTTTAGTAGCGCAAATGCGCATGCGCTATCAAGCCGTAAATCACGATGGCGTGACGATATGCTAGGAAGGAGTGACAGTGTTGTTTTCAGATGTATAAGCATTTCAGACGGGAATATTGAGTAAATCTTTGAAAATCTACGCAATATATAAATTGATCTTATGCATTACGTACGGTGGCCCAGACGCGACAGCACATAAACAGTTTTTGTATTTTTTGATTTTTGTATTTTTTGATTTTTTGATTTTTTGATTTTTTTATTTTTTTATTTTTTGATTTTTGTATTTTTTTATTTTTTTATTTTTTGATTTTTGATTTTTTGATTTTTTGATTTTTTGATTTTTTGATTTTTAATTTTTTGATTTTTTGATTTTTGATTTTTTGATTTTTTGATTTTTTTATTTTTTTGATTGTTTGATTAATTTTTTTCATTATAGATATACATACTGTAGCACTTGAATGAGCGAGCAAGGTTACTGATAATGTGTATATACAACTTGATCGAAGCTGTGTAACACAAAATTAAGGTTAAGGGTTAGGTGCAGCGAATTTGGCATTTATCATGTTGATAAATTCGGACGCGTTTAACAATTTACTCATATAGCTAGTAAATTCAAATGTGGAGCTCATGCTGTAAATTACACTATACGTATAATCTTGATCAAGAATTTTTCACTACATATGGCACCGGACAAATGGTTCATTTCGAGGTTCATTTGGTGCCGGAAAACATTTGCGGACATAAATCGTTTATATTTTGCCGACAATTTTCTTACATTTTTGAGATTTTTAGATGTATTATTCATATGGGTCCTGGGATTTATATTCTGAGTTCATCAATCTTGCATCAATAAATTTTAAGGGTTCCTTGTTCTGCGAGCCCCGCCCGAGATAAAGTTCCGCTCTGCCTCTCTCTCGGCGATCCTGCATGCAGTAGATGCAAATTTGTAGCGAAAGATTCAATATATACAATTTTAGACTTAACTACAGGAGCAGCTGCGAAAATGCTGTCCATCTGACAGGAATCGAACCTGTGGCTAAATATAGAGATTTCTGGAAATATAACGCTGGAAATCTCAATTTGCGCTTGGGATTTTTCTTGAAATTTGTGCTTGAAATTTTCATCCTACATAAATCCTTCAATCTGTTCATATCTTATATAATGGCATCACCTGTACTAAATATTGTATATAAACAAGAACTTGTGGTTGTAGCTCGACAACTGAACTCTATAACTCAGTTGGTTAGAGCACTGCAACGGAATTGAAGGAACGTATGTTCGATTCCTGCTATAGTTCTATTTCCCACAGCTGGTTATAGTCTAAATTAAATTTATATGAATCTTCCACACTAATTAATTACTCGAAATGATCATCTACATAAAACCCAATTCAATCTCGGGATCAAGTGGTCTTAGAACCAGGGGCGTAGGAAGAGGAGGGCACAGGGAGCACGTGACCCCCCTCCCAAATTGTTTCAAAGGACCAAAAGTGTCCCTTTTTGTACAAGCTAATGTCGCTATAAATACTAAATTAACATCAAAGTTGCCCTTCTTGTTTAGAGATGTCAAAATTTTAACTTGAATTTTACATATTTTTGCCTGAATTTCACAGTAGGGGGAGTTTCAAACCATCTATTTCATTAACTATGTGGAAGTGAACACTCCAGGCCCCTGCTGGACCAAAACTTTGAAAAGTTTAGAGCTCCCCCCACCTTCAGTATATCGAGCCCTTCCCGTTTAATGCCAGATTGCCAGAGAATATTTCGATGCTCCCCATAACATCTTCACCCCCCCCC